AGCCTGGTCTCCCTGGCCGGCGCGGGGCCAGCCGGTGACCAGGGCTGGCGGGCCCGAGGCGGGGCCCACCTTACGCGAAGCTGGGAGCAAAACTCCTGGTCTCCAGGGAATCTCCCGTCTGCGGTTAGAAACGCACTCTATGGGGTCGGCCACCCTCCCCACAGGGCACAGGCAGCACAGAGAGCCTCTGGGGCGCCACAACGCGGACAGGGTGCTGCTGGCACCTCGTGGCATGTGGGTGTCACTAAGCACCCCACAGAGCACGGACAGCTCCCACCCCAGAGAGCAGCCGGCCCCGCGTGTGGCAGGCCGGGAACGCAGGCTGGGAGCTGCTGTCTCGAGGGGGTTTCTCTCCCACCCCGTCCTGGTGGGGGCAGGAAGGTGCCTTAGACGCCTCCTCCGGGCCTCCCTAGCCAATGGCGAGCTCGAGGCCAGGGACGGACGGGCCACCAGCACGTTGGGAGGGCCCAGGATGGGCTCGGTCGCCCTCCTGACAAGGGGCTGGTGACGCTGGGCGGGACGGGAGGGACTGTGGCCGGGGACTGCGGCCATCTGCCGAGGCCGGCCGGCCAGCGCCTGGAGTGCCGCCCCGCCCCCTCCCCGGGGACAAGGACATTAGCTCCCCTCTCACGCCCGTGGCACAGGAAGTGCTGGGCCTGTTCTGAAAGGCTGCGACTGCTGCTGGGACCTTTGTCTCTGACTCCCAGGCTGTCTCCGCCCTTGGCCCGAGGCTCCTGGTGCAGGCTACGAGTGGGCACAGAGGCCTGCAGTGCTGGGGTGCAGGCGGGCGCCCCAAGTCGTACACCCGAGTCTGGCACCAATGTGCTTCGGGTCTCAGTCTCCCTCATCCACAAGACAGAAACACAGCTCACTGCCTGTGACCAAGGCTGCTGTGGGGACCAGAAGTGGCCCCGGCTGTGAGGGCTGGGTGAGGACGCAGGGCCACTCGGCCCCGCCCTCTGCCCCTCCCAAGCACGGTCTGGCCCCTGCACGGTCTCTGCATCGGCCCTCTCCACCGGGGCACCCTCGCTGCTTCTGGCTTCCCTCCCCCTCTAGTCCCTGGCCTGGCTTTGTCCGCCCCCCAGACGTCACCGCCCACACATGACAGAATCTCCCTGCCTGACCGACCAGCAGCTCTGCGGGGCCACAGGGCTGACGACGAGGGTGCTCCAGCGTCGGCTCGTGGAGGGGCAGAGCCGCGAGGCTCCCTCTGGCTCGGCTCTACCCAGCCGTCCCCAGCGCGCGGGCACTGGTCTCGGGCGTCCAGGGCCGAGAGTGGCCACTGTGCCCACTGCCTTGCCCCGCCCCGGGGGTCTGACGGCGAGCCCCGCCGCG